AAAAAAAAAAAAACTGAGCAAGAGCAACATTTCATAGATCCTGTAGTTTGGTGTTAATCACATTTGATGCTATATAGCAGTTTGTCAAAAGAAGACCTTTCTACATTCACTTCATTATTGCATGTTGTCTCTTGCCAAAAAAAAAAGAAAAAGTAATATTCCTATGCATTTTTTTTGTTTGGCTCTTTGTTCGTTTATGTAAATTTCTGTTTGACCCGAATGAAATCCCAAAAGCTGGTTTGTGGTAAGAATTGTAGAATGTTCTAGTAGTTGATTAACCTATCTTTTGGTCAATGTTCGTTTGACTGTTTGTCCTAAAATTGACTTCCCTCACACTGAGCGTTGATTGTTTCATTTCTAACTCCATGAGAGAAAACCTTTGCACTCAAATATTTCTGACACCTGTGAGATCAATGGAGTTGAGGCTTCTACTTGGTGAATTTTTCAAAGCTGCATGTGTTATGATAAGTGGTAAGAAGGTTATGGTTTGGACCACACACACACGACTCTGGAGTTATGACTGAAATAATCTTGATAGTATCTTTTGACTTCTTACTAACAGTTTGTTTGAAATACTCAGGAGACTAAACGAGTGGAGAGTTAGATTTTCTTTGTGACATGATTTCTCTTGCGCTTGGATTGCTAGAGACTAGCAATAAGCTGGTTGGGGGTTGTGATTAGTGCATGAAAATGCACCCTAAATATTACTTTTGATTTACACAATATTAAAATATTTAAGCTTTAATTAAACAATTCCATTATTTTTATTCATAATATTTTTAATTAAAATTTGTCTAGTTTTTGCTTAATTATTTACAGATAAAAAGCAGTGTAAAAAGCTACACAAAAATAAGCCATGAAAGCCATATTTTCAACCATCCGTAGCCAAGCCTCTCAGCCGAGCCGCCCAAGCCATCAGAGAAAGATTCGAGCCGATTGAGCTGAGTAGCTGAGCCGGCCAAGTCACATCAATCCGCGTGGGTCCCATCTTTTCCACGCTCCCCGACTCTCCCTCGCACGCGTCCTCAGCACGCGGCTCATCAGAGTGCGCGTTCCCTCCACGGAGCCATCACCGCGCGTCCAAGAATCTGAAGCGTGGGTCTCGCGTCTACAGCCATCAGTTGGCCTCCCTCTCCGCGTGCGACAGGTGTCAAACCGTGTCCTCCGCTCTGCGAATCGCCAGCACACGCCAACCGCTTGAAATGCGACACGTGGCGAGATTGACTCCTTCATCCAACCAAGCTTTGACACGTGTCTTCTAATATGCTGAATCTGAATTCTCCCCTAAAAATCTGAGCAAATTACCAGATTTCTTCCCCAAATCAAATATATGATTTCTCCTAATTTATGTGTAATTTTATTTTGTTTCCCTTTCTTTTGTAATTTTCTATTTTTATTGTTTGTTTCCTTATTTGACAGACAACCTCTGAACACTATAAATAGAAGGGTTAGCCTAAGGTTTAAAGGAGCTTTTAATATTCAGTTTTCTGTCGTCTTGCTGTCAGTCTCATATTTTCTCTCTAGAACTTGTGAGAATGTTTTGCAAGATAGGCTAGGGTTTTCTTGGTGAGGTGAGAGATGAACTTCTGTTGAGTGACCAAATTCGGGGTTTTGATTCCTTGTGCTGTAAAGTTCAACATCTGAATAAATTAAATCTCATCTATTTTTCTATTACTTTTCAAAATATTGTGTGCCAATTTTTATATAAGTTCAGTCATGCTTTTCTTATGTAATTCTGTCATGCAGTGTTTTGTTATTCAAATTATTTTACAAATTATCTTTTACTGCAATATTGTCAGATTGATATATTGTCGATTTTAAATAACTTGTAATAATAATATTTCTGGAGTCAACATACAGCTTTAATTTATTCGGTTATTTAATATTGTGAATCAAAACTTGAATTGGTGAACGAAGCATTAGGGATTCTCAACACCTTACCGTTTTCTTCATACAGATTTTCTCCTTTTTATTTTATTTGGAACAAAAGTCTCAAAAACTCTCATTTTTCTTTATTTCACTTTTCTCTAACGCTCTTATTCTGTTAATCATTCTTGTTATTTTGTTATCTCTCTGTGGATATGACCGCCCTTCTGTGCTACAATTGACCGCTTGTGAATATCATTTTTGAGCGTTAATCAAATTTTAGCACCGTTGCCGGAGAGGTGCTACTAACAAGAGTGATCAGTAGATTTTGTGCCAAAGAGGTAAGTACATTTTCTCTATTATTTTTTAGTTCTTATTTTCTTTGCTATTAAGCTGTGTTAATTTCTTATTTTTAGTTATTAGTTTTTGTCTAGCCTTTAGTTCACGTTCGGTACGAGATTAGTAATTTAATTTGTTTTAACATTTTTTTTTTGTTTCCTTGTCGTTTCTTATTTGAAAAAAAAAAAAAAGTTGCTGCAAGTTTTACTGATTTGATTTGATTATTATTATATTATATATATATATATAGTTTATTGTTTAGCTGTACGATGTTTAGTTTTTTTTAGGTGTCTGTTAGTTTCGTTAATATAAGATTTTGTTAGTTTTTCTTTATTTGTTTATTTATTTATTATTATTATTTTTTTTTCTCTTTGTCAACTATCGTAGGTATTCGTTTTTATTTATTTATTATTTTGTTTCTTTATTTATCATCTAATTGTTTAGGATTTTATTACCATTTTATTTAATAGTATAGTGTGAAATTTTCCTTTTCAGTTATTAGAATAATTGTGATTTGATTTTGTAATCTTTTATTTTTGGTAAATTAGGATTTTATTTTGTTTCCTCATTTGTATATTTTAATTGTT